GAGGAGTCACCTATCGAAGAATTTTACTTCCGAGAGTCAACCTTTTTCAGCATTTGTTAAAGTCGACATATACATGCATTTTCTTTTCTCTCTTATATTTTTCATTCGGAAGAAAAAGAACAGGAGTCTCATTCGATTTCGTTTTACCTTTTATTTATAAAATTCGTCACCTCTCTCGCAACGTGTCTTTCGTACAAAGCAACAATAAACAAAGATACCATTGAACTGTGAGTAGAAAAAGTTGTCTTTTTCGAAGTCGCACGTCGTTTTTTTGTAAAGATAAACCATTTACTTTAGCTTAAAACTACTATAGGATACATTACTTCAGATTTAATATTGATAAAAAGTCATCGACATCTATTATTCTATTTTTTAGTATTAAGAGAGGATTTCTTAGACCATCATCCAAGCCAGTCGGAGTCAATATTTTTCATTAATTTCATCCCTCGAATAAGAGATCATTTTTGGAAACTTATGAATAAAAAAAAAAGACCTTTAGAGATACTTATGAAAAATGCTGAAAATTGTAATTCTCTCATTTTTGGGCTTAAGCCATTAGAATTTAGATAACGAGCTTTACTCACACTTTGTTAGCTTATCAGTAAAATTATTGAGTCTTGACATTTAAAAATCGAATCCGAATTCCAAAGGCACTTGAAATTTTGTATCTTGTGTGGCAGTAGTAACAAAGTAAAAAAGACGTACACGAGATTTTAGTAGGAATAATATTTGTTTTTCTCCGTGGTCAAACCATATAAAACTCAGGCGAACAGCTGCATCAAATCAAACATATTTTGGCATAATTAGTTTGTTGTAGAATAAACTTATCTGTGATTCGCCTCAGTATCTTCAGGAAAAAAATAGTCACGGTATTGTCAAGATAATTTTTTCATAATAAATACATTTTGATAAAATATGCCTGGTCTTATGTAATTTTTTACACTGAATATGGATATATTATTTAGTTTGCTCTTAGAATAAACTATAATTTTGGAAATTACTAAAAGCACGTGCTACTTGTAAAATTTTTCATCATTCGAATACTGATGCGAGAAAAGTTTCTTTTAAAGTTTAGAGTCTCGGGTTTCAAAATAATATAAGATGCTTTATCTCATTTCTTTTTATGAAAAATAAAATAGGTTGACCAAAATCACTGATTATTTTCTCTGAAAAATTCAGGTCACTCTGATTCAATCTTACTCTTTCAATTTTAGAAAGCGTGCAGTCAACTAAATAGTATGTTTACACTTAGCTTTTGGTACTGATCATAGATATAAAGTCATATTCTTATTCAGTATAAACCTAGTCTATGTAATGGTCTATGATTAGTCAAAATGGTTATTGACGTCTATCAAAAGTGCTCTAAATGTGATCATTGCTACGAACTGCTACATGTAGTTTTGTTCATTGAGTAATAAATCAAAAATGTAGAGTTTCAAGTGCTTTCAAAGTTCGGATTTATTTTCTTTTTGGAAGTTTTTAAGTCAATTGAGTTAAAAGCAACTCACTGCTACAGTGGTCATCATACATTGTAGTTCCTCTAGCTTATTGAAGCATGTTCAGTTCAGTGATAGTTATTTAAAGAATCGTTTGTATGACTAATTTTCTTAATACAAGTTTGCCAAAAAAATATTTAGTAGCGTCCAGTCCTATGTAAGCTTGTGTGATCGTTTTCCAATTCTTTTTCTGAAGTGTTAACGAATTAATGCCTACTTTGTATAAAGTATAAGCTTGTCTATTAAAGATTTCATTGCCATGCAACTTATTTCAAATGGTTGTATTAAGTAAATATAATTGACTTTCAAGTTTTTCTTTAGTTCAGTACGGACTTAGCATGGCATTGCTCAATCTATTTAAAAGAGAACCTTTGCTAATCACTTGGTAAACTCGCGGATAATACTATTTTTTCTTCGGACTATGTTCGGAAGAATATAGTGTCTTGTTCGGACTGATTGAGTAACTAGGAGAAGCTCTCTCTTAAATACTTCGAAGAACGCAATAGAGAGTTCTTATACGAGTAACGAAAATCTTGACATTAAAAGATTGTTGTCTAAAACAATCATTAAAACGGGATTCAAAATGAATTTATTGTAGGCTGATCTTGTCTCATTATTATTAAGTGTTAAGTAAGACCATTTTATACTTGATTTTATTAAACTATGTGAAAAATCAATGATTCATCTCTAGTCCGTAAGCTATCCGATCTTTCGAAGTAACAAATATATTTCATATCTTTAGACAATGTCACTTAATGTCAGGGTAACTAAATATCAGACAATCTGGTGATGACTCTCTGAAGATATGAACTTTCTTCGTCAAAAAAAAACAGAGTAAACATAATTAGTGCTGAATTGCTATGCATCTTTAATCAGTATTCTCGAATATTCATCTCTATTAAATGGGTCGAATACATGAACAATAATCTCTATTGACAGGAAAAGTAGAGGATTCATTCTTGTCTACTCACATTTTAAAAAGGAAGAAAGAAATCATCTTGTTCTCATCAGCTGTTTCAAAGTAATTGATCGATCGAATTCAGTTGGCAATCTTCATAGAATTCATTTTCATCAGATTTTACCACTTTATCAAACGTTGATCGCCTCATTCGATCTCAATGAGGTACATAATACATGATAAAAATTGAAATCATTCTTTGATCATTGAGTATGATGTTTTTCTCTTAACAAAATATCAGAGTGAAAATACATATTTCATCAAAATAGTACCTCGTCACATATCTTGACAATTTTTTCATCTTTACTTGAAGAAAAAAAACTTTCGAGCTTTCAATTTATGCACCTTAAACATCACTTCTAGTCTAGCCATCCTTAAATCCAAAACATTATGAACATCGATATAGACCTGGAGCTAGCCTTTATATTCAGAATGAGTGTAAGTCTTCAGTTTAACCAGAGCTTGTACTTCTCTTCAGATAGATAGTCATACTCAAACTCATTCTCATACCTTTAAATCTCTGTAGATTCTACAAATCTTCTGAAATGAAATACGGATGAGTATTGACTTATGTGAAAAATTTACATTTTTTGTCATTTAGAACAAAACAAATCAAATTCAGTTTATCCAAATAAGAGTTAATATTTCTCCAAAGGAAGGCATTGATTAAGCCATATTTGTGACCTTTCTGTATCTATTACATCTTATCATTTGTATTACCATATGTTCATATGAAAAGACAAAAAAGTAATCACATATTCTGATTTTCGAGAAAATAATCCGAATGCAACGAAAGCATCTTCATCACCAAATTCCTACATAGTTAATGTTACACATATTGTGAAGACGACTGAAATTTTCTTTCATTCAATATGTTGATATATTGGTTTGCATGTATTATGCCGAAAAATAATTTAAGTATTATGTAGATTTCACTATTTGACGAACAAGTAAAAAAATAGTTTTTCTCCTATGACTTTTTTTTAGAAAGTATATTACCAGTATAAAAATAAATCTTTGAACAAGTAATTTTATGTTATCATGATATTCCATATTCTTTTTCAATATTATTAAGTCAGAAACATAGAAATTCATTTAAGACTTATAATTTTGTTCCTCAGTTTTTATTACAAACGAATTAACTTATATTTGAGACTAGTGAACAAAATTTGATTTGAATCATCAATGAAGAATATTGAGTGAATCACTTAAAATATTTCTTTATAAATATTCATATGAATTCATTTTAGATCGAGATATATACAGAATAAATTTCACAATTTTCGTGATTTACTTCGAAGAGAAATGGCAACAGACAATGAATCGATTTTATGTTCAATTTGTAGTAAACCTTCAGCTAAATCATTTTGTATTGGATGTAAAAAGTACTTTTGTCGAAAAGATTTCAAAGAACATGAACAACAATTATCGATGACATTTGATAATGAAATAGTTAGATCTCATGATGAACTTCTCGATCTAATACAGAAATTAGAAAAATCAAATTATTTGTCATTACATATTTTTGATCAAATTGAACAATGGAAGCAAATAACAATCAATAAAGTGAAAAAAGCAGCAGACAAAGCTCAACATGAACTTACTCAATTAATCGAAAACCGAAAAATACTAATAATAAAACAACTTGAACCAATTACTAAAGAAATTCGTTCTCTTCGAGAAGAAGAAAATATTGTTGAAACTGATATTGACCGACTTCGAAAAAAAATCAATGATATGCGACAAAA